GGCCTCTCCTTTTGTTTAAATACTAATGAGGAAGGGCGAAATGTGGCGGCGACCACCGGTCGATCTAGATTTTATTGAAACCGTAAGACCTCGGAAGCAACCGAGGTGAGCAAGTTAAACATATAGCGATCCTGACCGCTGACTAGGCCGAGTGACAAATGTGTGTGTGTGTGTGTGTGATTGTGTGTGTGATTGTGCGTGTGACAGCTCTACAGGCCACACGCTTCGAAATATGAAGTTGGGGTTTCGACAGAACTCTTCCTCATCGTCCAAGGAAAGGCCCTCGAGAAATTAAATTTGCAAATCGGCCTCAAGAAGGGAGAGGAAACAACTTTCGCGGAAAATCAGGGATTCGCTCTCGTCTCGCCATCTTTTGGAAGGACGAGGAGGCGAGAGTTGCCCTAGTACTCGAAGGGGAACGCTAATTCGCTAATTGGCATCGCTAATTATCAGGAATCCGGAGATTTCGAGCGCCCATAATGAAATACGGGATTCGCCAGTTCGTTTCCACTTGCGCTCACACGGGCTCCACAAAAGAGTCAATCACCTCGGTTTCCTCGCGGGAGTCCATCTCTCAAAATGCACAATTTCGGATCGGCCGAATGACGTTTTCTTTCGTCGCTCGCGAACGATGCAAGGATACCGACGAGTGCGAGAGTTCTTCAAAGGTTATACTGTGGAAACCGGTTAAGTGCACACCGCATGAGTGCACGTGTTTTGTAAGCCCGGTGTGCAACTTTTGTATGGGATCGTACACAGATAAGTGCACAAGGAGGTGGCCCCGCCCAAATGTCACTCAAAGTGTCATTCTATAGCAGTTAAATCTAGTACTGCGGATTTGTTTTTAGTCTATGCCCCAGGGAGGCATGGCCTATGGCCCAGAGCGGAATTGCCTCGTAGGCCGCGCGCATTAGCCAAACGGAATACGTATTCCGGGACCCGCAGGACTAGGGTCAGCTGGCACTTTATTGTGTAGGTTTTGAGTGAATCTGTGCGTTCTGTTTGAACGGACTGTCGTACGAGAGAGGGAGAACCCACGTCAGCCCCGAAAAGAAAACTCACATCTCTAAACATTGATCAGAAACTCGAAATTTTGAATTCTCTGCAGTCGAAAATTAAAACCAGGAAAGAATTGTCAGTGCAGTATGGATGCGATTTGTCAACGATTTGCACGCATCGTGCAGCAGGAACAGAAAATTAGAAATGTCGCCATTGAAAATGGAAACACTGCAAGGAAGCGATTGCGCAAAGGAAACTATGAAGAACTCGATCGGGCTGTTGCCGTGTGGTTTCGGCAGATGAGGGCCAAGGACGCTATCATTAGCGGCCCAATGATTCTGGAAGAANAGAAATGTCGCTATTGAAAATGGAAACACTGCAAGGAAGCGATTGCGCAAAGGAAACTATGAAGAACTCGATCGGGCTGTTGCCGTGTGGTTTCGGCAGATGAGGGCAAAGGACGCTATCATTAGCGGCCCAATGATTCTGGAAGAAGCGAAGAAGTTTGCACTAAAGCTGGACATTCTTGATTTCGAACCGAGCAATGGCTGGTTGGGACGATGGAAGACAAAAGAAAATGTCACCTTTCACGAATTGCAAGGTGAGAAGGGTGCAGCTGACTAGCGAAGAAGTTTGCACTAAAGCTGGACATTCTTGATTTCGAACCGAGCAATGGCTGGTTGGGACGATGGAAGACAAAAGAAAATGTCACCTTTCACAAATTGCAAGGTGAGAAGGGTGCTGCTGACGGGGCTAGTGCAGCTGAATGGATAAGGAATATGCTGTCCACTCTGTTGGCTGACTACGATCCCGAGGACGTCTACAATGCAGACGAGTCTGGTCTGTTCTACAAGGCGCTTCCCAGTGGGACGTTGGCTGCTAAAGGTGAGAAGCCAGAAGGTGGAAAAATACAAAAGTATCGCCTGACCACGCTCTTTCTATGCAATATGGATGGATCAGATAAGCACGTGCTCGCCGTCGGCCAATCAAAGCAGCCGCATTGCTTCTGAGGAAAGAAATTTCCACTGCCGTATTACGCTAATGCAAAATCATGGATGACTGGTGCCTTGTGGAGAAAAATTTTGCTGGATTTTGACAGCAAAATGATTAAGCAGAAGAGGAAAGTTCTTTTGTTCGCCGACAACGCGGCTTGTCACAAGTTGGAGGAAGGAATCATACTGAAGAATGTGAAAATTCAGTTTCTCCCAGCGAACACAACGTCTGTTATCCAACCACTCGATCAAGGAATCATCCGTACATTCAAGGTCTATTATCGGCAGCAAATCGTGCGAAAACAGCTACTTGCCCTCGAAAAAGGTCTCTCTTTGCCGCAGTTTGCGAAAACAGTTAATGTTTTGGAAGCGCTGAACATGGTCAAACGGTCTTGGTGGTTAGTGACCCCAACCACCATTCGAAATTGCTTCCGAAAGGCAGGATTTTCAAAGGCAGAGGAAGAAGAATCAGAAGTTGAAGAAGCAGTGGTGCACTTGCAAATTCCAGAAAACGAATTCAATGATTTCGTTGAATGCGATGCAAATTTGGACTGCGACGGCGAGTCGACTGCCGAAGAAATTCTGGAAGAAGTCCGTCGACAGAGAAACGATCGTGATGAGGAAGAAGCACAGCAGCAAGTGCTGCCACCCCCGCCCAGTCGCAAGGATGCACTGGCCGCTCTGACCGTCCTCCGCGCTTATTTTGAGCACAAAAATGTTGAACAACGTGGATGCACTGGAGGATCAATTTTGCGATCTGTCTTCTGAAAACTTTGTCCAGAAAAATATTTCCGATTATTTCAAATGATGTTTTGTTTAGTGACAATAAATGTTTTCTATAACTAATCAATAGCTATTTGAGCAAAAATTGAACCAGGATTAATGTATTTAAGCAAAACCCGGATAAGTGCACTTAACCGGTTTCCATTGTACATGCATAATAAGTGATATACGGCATATTATGGTATATTTATGAAAATATTTAAAAAACGTATATAACATTTTCAGTAGAATAGGAAAATAACTCAATAGTGCAAACATAATTTAATATATATAGGCGATCGTGACTGACTGACTGACGCTAATTCTAACCATGTTCTAGAGAAGTTAGAAATCTGAAAATTGGTACACTTGCACCTTTTGGGATGCAGAGTTCAGAAAAAATCCGACTTTGGATGTAAATGCCCTGGGGGCACACATTTTGGGGGGAGAAGTTTTTAAAGATATATATTGAGACGGATTATGATGGCATCAAGAGCCCCGACAGGATGTCTCGGATTCGGTGGTGTAGTGGTAGCACTCCTGAACGACAATCGGGAGGTCCGGGTTCAATTCCCGGCCGTTCCTTGGCTCTTTTTGACCTCTTATGCCTTCCAAGTCGAGTTCCCCTAAATAGCCATATTTTTGCTCAAGTAAAACGGAGAGAAGTGGATAGCTGAAACGTGCCATGGACATGCCTACCGAGACGATGAGTTCAGGATAAATGAAAAATTTAAGATCCATGCCCTGTTGGGGGCATGTTTTTAGGGGCCGACGTTTTCACGTAATTTTCTTTTGCCCTGGCGTAATGAGCTGGTGTTGAAAGCTGAAACTTGGTACATAACTACCTGTTGGGATACTGCGTGCAGAAAAATTCAGTTTAGGAAAAATTCTATTTTGGTGATACATGCCATAGGGGCACACCCTTTCGCGGAACATATTTTGAAAGAGTTCTCTCTGCATCAATCAAACGGAGACACATGGAAAGTTGAAACCTGGCAAGAACGTGACTGATGACGCACTGAGCTTAGAAAAAATGTCAAATGTCAATATAAAAAAATTGGAGTTTTGGGGGGTATATTTCTTAGGGACGTTATGTTGTCAAATAATTTGTAATATCCTAGCGAATCAGGCAGAAATAGAATAATGTTGATTTCAGCAAAAATTGAACTTTTAGTGTGCATCTCCTCAGAGCACAGCTTTAGGGTGGGTCGCTTTTCCAAATATATTTTTTTACCGCCTGTAAAAAGGGGAAACGAATGAGGCTAAAAGTGGGTACTATGGATTTCCCTGAGTCTACATTTCAGAAGAAAAATAAATCTCATCAGGGGACATTTTTATAGTCCTATTTTCCTGAATTATTTTTTTGATCCAACGAAACAGAGATAGAAAATTTAAAATTCCCTCAGAAGTACCAATTTGATATCTGAGTACAGGAAAATCCTGCTTTTTAAATATGCCCCATTAGCGTAGATTATAGGAGGGAAGTATTTAAATATATATTCTTGACCCTTGCAAAAAGGATCATAAGAAAATATTTCAAGTTATGCACACATAGAATCATTGAAGCAATGATATTGATAAAAATCAAGACTTTCTTCCCCATATGTCACGTATTTCAATGAGGACGTACTTCAAATATGTGTTTGCCATTTCGCAAAGAATGAATGAATTAATCACTATCCAAGGTAACGGAGCGCCGTAGGCGCGACCATAGCGACTTTATTTGCCCGAAGGGCAAACAAACTCAGAATGTATTCAAAATGTATTTCAAAACGTATTCACCACCCTTACTAAAAGGGATACAAAAAAAGATTTAGAGTTAGGCACACATAAAATCATAGAAGTAAAGGGTTTGATGAAAATGAAGACTTTCGACCTCATATGTCACGCATTTCAACGGGACGTACTTTAAATATGTGATTGCCATTTCGCAAAGAATAAATGAATTAATATATTTTCAAGGTAATGGAGCACCGAAGGCGCGACTATAGCTAATTTGTTTGCCCGAAAGGCAAACGAACTCGCTAGTATTAAGATATTGGTCTTAATTCAGGACTGTAATGATTAATGGTAAAGAGCAACATTGTCCCATGGTTGATGACACTACAGGCCAGAAATAATAATTAGAGTAAGCCTTCACGTAAGCGAGAACTAAATAAAAGTATGGAGGTCGTGCATGATTTAAAAGAGTTTGAAAATGAAGAAATTAACTTTGCATGGCGACTCTTTCATGAAATCAAATATGACCTGAGATAGTGGAACCATAATTAAAGACTGACCTGGATGGGGAAGACAGTGCCGATCATGAGTCCCAGAGACTGGCAAATAATGGAAACGAATGCGCTCAGGGCAAGAAACCGGAGGAATCTTTGGGCGTCAATGGGCTGCGAACTCATGAAGTACCAGATCGCCACGTATATGAGAGAAAAAATAAGCTGGAAAAAAAGCATAATATTACAATTATATCAAAAAAAAATTAATAACATTAGACATTAATACGATAAATAATTAATAATATAATTATGCTTAAGAAATGTAGAATCTCAATGGAGACAGAGAACGCAGATCTCTCACGGAGAAAGGGACATCCGATAGCGTCTTCGCCATGTAGTATGCCTTGAGGGAATACCACTTATTGAGAATCTCTTTCAGCAGCACATGGATTTCCAACGGATCTAAATTTGCATTTTTATTTATTTAAAATATACTTTCCTGGTGGGAAAATTTGAACTAAAATACCCCATGAGAGGAAGTGAGACTTTCAGTCTCGAGAAACTCACACGTCACTGTGGTCGGGAGCATGGAGGCGAAGACCAGGAAGAGCATAGTGAAGAAGACAGAGCGGACGTTGTGGAACACCAGCGTGGCGTCGTCGCCCATGTCGAAGAAGAAGATCCCCATGAAGAGACCGATGAAGATATGTGCTCCCCCCCGGAAGTACATGAGCCACTGCGGAAGCGAAAGAGAGGATTTTCGCGATTTCGGGGGAACTAATGACGCACGGATGAGGAGCGATGACACATGGGTTGTTGGCCTTTGTTGACTCTCCCAACCATTGACATTTGCTGATCTATTTTTGCTGTGCATTTTGGGAAATTTTCATGGAATTTACGAATACGCCGGAAAATTTTTCAAACGCTGACATGTAAAAGCAAAGGAAAAGGAAAGAAACTGTTAATAAATTGAAAATGTGATGCTTAAACGGAGGTATTTGAAATGTAATAGCCGGAAACGCAACGATTTAACTGAAATGTAGTTGATTGAGATATACAGCATGATGTTCATAGTTCTCAAGGAAAATGTAAAGTAGCAATCGAAGCCTTCTCCGACTGAGAGTCCCTGAGCCGCTGAAGAAAACTTAGTGCAATTGGTGATATATGGCTCAGTATTATGCAACCAATTTCACTTCACTCTAAATCGGTCGCAAAGAATCTATGAGGTTTACAATGCATGACAAACTCAACTTTAAGTGACATCAATGTCATTCCTCGATGTAATGCTCCATCTTTTTTTCGGCATCCATAACGAATTGAGGACGGCTATTCAAATCATGCGTATTATTCATGCATTTCTCCACGATTCCTAGCAAAATTTGTGCTAGCTTTCCGCAATGGACAAAAGAGACAAAAACAGTTGACGCCATAGTGCGTTAGACTGTAATTATGTTTTCCAAACCTAATGCGAGTAACGTTGCATGCGGTTACAAACTGCATTCATGAATCATTAGTAATTATTAGTATATTTATTGGTAATAATCCTTTATTGTCCCGTAATTTTCCTTGTTTTTTTATAACCTTTTTTTTTACCATTTCGTTTCCTGCGAATTATTAGTCATAGAGAAGAGATCTCAACAAAGGAACATCTTCATCTCTCAAAATGACCCGAAGCATGGGGTACCGTGACCGGCACATATGGGCTTCATCGTGCTGGGAGGATCTCACAGTTTAATGAGACCATTATGCAGTTGTCCAGGCACTTCAATGAATCGTATCGTCCGTCATGCGTATCATTAGCGGCACGTGGTAGACGGATGTCCAATTCCATTCATTTACGGAGGAGACTTGATTATCATTATCGACAATGTTACATGATGTTTTGTGCGAAGCATTTTATTAAACATGAAAATGACAACTGCTAAAAATGAAGTCCCCAATGCACCCAAATGGGCACCTCAAAACATCGGTTACTCTTAAGAGACCCGTTAAAATACTCACCAAATCTCTGGTGGACACCTTCACACATCGCAGGAACAGGCACCCTACCTGGCTCGTGAAGGACACCGCGTATTCCGCCACTGCGTCCTCGGTCGTCTTTGGCCTTGTGTCCGACATAACCTTCATTCCTTTCCCTACACCTATGGATATATCGCACGTTGCATTTATTCAAAGTTGCTGGAAATTTCCAACGCAATGTTTAATTGAGTGATAATTCCTGACCCTGTATGAACGAATGAGTGGGCCAAGGCGGTGCAAATTTGCCTTGACTTCGAAATCAGCCTTTTCTGATTCATTTCTAATTTCCCTTCATTACTCAAACCCCCTCATATTGAAAATCATTCGATTCATACGCAGTTTCTTATTTGATCAACGTTTCCTAAATTTCACTCCTATGGCTTTACCCTTACGATAAGATCCTATAATATCCAATGCGTTTTTTAAAACATAAAATTCATGTAGGATTCTAATAGGGATCCCATAGAGTTCCTTCAGGATCCTATATAATTATACTGTATAATTTCTGGAACATAAGAAACAAGTCGACAAAACCTCTTTAGAATAAAATGAATTCTGAATGTATGTTAATGCATACCGGAAGATGCAGTAGAAAGGGAGGACTCGCTATCGGGACTCAAGCTCACTTGTAGATCGGTGTCCGCTTGCTTGCGAGGCATTACGGTTTTCAATTTGGCAGCATCGAATAACACATTCACCGCTTCCCTCCCGTGGAATCCGAACGCCACTTCCATCGCTGCAACGCCGAAGCAAAGCATCGTCATGAGTTACAATGAAATCGTGGAATTCTCGTATGTTTGAGTTGAGGTAATCCCTACAATTATGGTCTACAAACGGTGCTTGCAAGGTTTTGAGTTTCAGAGAATGGGAGGAAAGGGATGCGGTTGAAAAGGAACGAGTGGGAGAGAGGGAGAGAGAACTAGAGAAACAGCGTTGAATTATTCGATTTTGACTTCGTATTACCTGAGAACTGCCACTATCCATAGTGAGCTCCCCTTCTGAATCCCCTTCACGACTTTCTTTAGGAGGTTGAAATAAAGTATGCATTTCGCGTTTGGAAATGAGACAGTATTGCTCCTGCAATAATCCTCTATCTCTAGGGAGGGGATGGTCCACGTAGAACGTGGAACGTTCTCGACGTAGAACGTCATATTTAGCCTATTGACGTCCACTTGACGTCCTCTTGTTGCCATACACGAACTTGGAACGGGGAATGCTCCTTTCCCTGCTCCTTTTCCATTATTTCTCAGCGCCACTTAACTTCATCGCTGTGTCTTGAACTTTACTGGAATACTTTTGTCCTTTCTCGTCTCTCATGCAGGCGGTGAGATTCTCTTATGCCGATAGGCGAGAATTATGATCTGTGGCTTGTTTGCCAATATGCTTACTGGTTCCGTTATCATTCCCATTTGGAGAGCCTTGTTTCAAGGGCATACAATACATAAATTGGGTGCGTCTACGGGGAATCTATTGATAGTTATAGATGTATTTTATTTATACTGTATATTTCCCATTACTCTTGATGCAAGAAAAACTGTGAGGTTTTGTGTTTTATTATCCAGAACGTTATCTAACATTTTTGTCTGTATCAGGCAACAATGTGCAGGTAGTGTATAAGTATAATTTACATTGGAACTCCTGAGTAATGTTCCCCATTACAACCAACTCAAGTGCAAATGAAGCGAGAATTGCGACTCTCAAGGGAAGGCAATGTAATGACATTCAAGATGTCACAAAGTAAGTCACACACGGAAATACTACTTTTATCTGGATTTCATGCACGATTCTATTGTATTATCCCCTTAAACTAAGCAAGAATCATACCTGACTAGAAGAAAAGTATTCACGCTTGGTCAGATGAAAACATTTCATGCGAAGAAGTAAACAATACTTTTCCTCTGCCTTGACATATACCACAGTAAAGCATCGTTGGACCTCATACTGCAGCAATAACTGCAGTGTACATTTGCCTTGTTTCTTACGAACTTCAAATCAACCAATCAGCATGTGCTATTTCATGTAAAGGCATTCATTTCACGAATGCCCCAATAACAAATTTTAACCAAATGAAATCCAAACTTTTCTTTAGCATAATGGGGGTAGGGATTGCTTGAAAACGACATGAGGTGGAACGTGAAAGAACCTCAATGTTAGAAAAAAATTTAAGAAATCAATCGACTCCGGGAGAGAACATTAAACAAAATTTATTCATGGGCATTCTTGCCCGAGGCAACCTAATGGGCTTAAGTAAAATCTACATTAAGAGGTTTACGTTTTCGTCCCAACATGGAAAATCTCATTTATGACATTCATTTACTGAAATTTGGCACCTGATTTAACAAATGCACATCACAAAAGGAGTTGCTTCCATGTATTAATATATGCATGTATTGCATCCAATACCAGACGCATCGTCGATATGAAAACTTTAGGGTGAGAAAAGTGACTGCACTAAGGCACTCTGTGACCTACATGCTGGTCGCGATTAGAGCATCTCTGCTCCAAATGCCTTTAAATCGGACAAGCATTAAATCATAATTCAATTTCTCCCGCCTGCACTCGTGATCCGAGAAGTTACTCACCATAGTCGGCGGGATTGTGATACGTAGGACAATGAAGACCGAACTGACGCAGAAAGGGCAACAGTGAAGTGACAGTGCCGTGGTAAAGACTGCGTCCCTCGGCGAGGAGAATCAGATGATCGAATTTCTCCAGGATTTTCGCGCTGGGGTGGTGGATTGTGCAGATCACGGTTCTACCCTCGTGTGCTAGCATGCTTAACAGGCTCACGCATTGCTGGCAGGTAGAGCTGTCCAGTCCACTAGAGCACCGATCAAAAACCATTGCGAATGCCATGTAAATGACAGGTCATTAGTGCTTCCAAATCATTGCAATTTCATGTTGTTTAGCTTCCTTTCATTGAAGTGTGGGAAAAAAACAAAGGGATTTCTTTTTTAAATTCAAGTGCAAATTATTTCGAGAAATGTACAAACAAGAGATACTTTGGCAAGTTGTCTAGTATCTATTCATTTGACATTTGAGATTTGAGATTATCATAGCCATTACCATTTCCATACTTTAAGCATGAAACTCCTAGTTCAGATCTGGGTGTGAACTAAAAAGAGAAAATATAGGTAAATACATGTTAACATGTTTTCATTTGTGAACGGAAAATACAAAAACATCTGTTCACTACTTCCTTCATTTTTCATTTAGCCCCTGTATGTAAATACTTTCCCTTATTTTGAGTATCACGAATTTCCTCTTCCGCAACTACAAACGAGAGTTTCTCATATTACACTCCACTTTTTCTTTTACGAATCCCTTAATGTTAATGTTATCCCTCAATATGAGGATCTTGAATTTGTACTACTGTATCCAAAGATGTGGATATCACATATTAGGTTCGAATACAAATTGCCCAAGAGCATAATCATGAAAAAAATAACTGAAACAAGTGATATTTGAGGCCTAACAAATTCAAGCAAACCGTAGATGTAGCCAGAGCTTGACAGAGTTTTCATCTAGAAGTGCTTGGATGGCGCTCTTACCTGATTCTTCTTTTCTAATTTTACCAATTAATGAATTCAAATCTCATTTTTTCGTCATATAGGGTTCGTAAGAAGTTCTGTTACAATATTTGGACTCACATTGAAAGACTCCCGATTAGAATCTTTCACAAGCCTATGCGCGTGTGACTTATATGGACATGTAGGTTATAATTGCATGTGAAGCGGTGGACTCATCAGTTCTTGTCATTTTTGTGTCAAAGTGAATGCACAACGTGCAGCTATCATTGAGCTTCACCTCAGCGGAAAAAACACCACCAGAGAGATTCAAAGCCCTCTCTGGCCGAGGCACGAATCGCATGTTCATTCACCGCACCATTAAACGATACCAGCAGACCCACTCTATCGAGGATCGTGAGAGAAGTGGACGCCTGCCCTGAGGTCTGCTACGGCTCCACAGATAATGAAATCTGTCTCTCTCCGAATTCAACGGAACCCCAGGCGCTCCATTAGGAAGATGGCCATGGAAATGCACATATCAGAGGGATCCATGAAAACTATTGTCAAAAAACACATTCGCCTGAAATCTCTCAAACGCAAGCATGCGCAACTGCTGCCACTTCGCCCAAGGTGTTTGAGGCTTCAACGAAGAGAGGCCTTGCTGCAGCGGTCCACGGCTGATGACGTGGACAATATATTTTTTTCCTATGAAAAATTGTTCACCATCCAGGCTACTTCTAATCGAGAAAATGATCGGATCCTCGCGCCACGGATCTCAGATGTCTCGGATGATATGTCAATCGTGCCTCACTCACAACGCCCCCAGTCAGATATGGTTTGGGGAGGGGTGTCTGCCAACAGTCGCACCGATCTGGTTTTCCTTCCTGAAGGGGTCAAGATGAACAGTGGAGATATACAGAGATATTATATTAGACCCAGTAATGGAACATGCAGAACCATGTTCGGCAACCAGGCTTGAACATTTCAGCAAGACGGTGCGCCAGCACACAGTTCCAACATTTCCAAGCATGGCTACAAAGCGAAATTCCGTAGTTTATCACAAAGGACCAATGGCCTCCTAGCTCATCCGACCTGAACTCTCTGGAATTTTCTATTTGGTCCACTTTGGAAACTAAGGTCGGGGCTATTGCCCACTACAGCATCAGGGCTCCTAAGAAGTCTTTGGTCCGAGAATGGAAGAATATTCGCAGCATCAGCTGCGTGCTGTCGTACACGCTTTCCGTCAACGATTGAAGGTTTGCATTTCCAAATATTGACTGAAAATTTGTTCAAATACATTATAGCGTGGAGTTGCCATTCTTGTTGCTCTGGTTGTTTTTAGGCAAAAAAACGTTTGTAGCGGAACTTCTTACGCGCCCAGTATAGTCAACAAATTCCGGGTGTTTCTTCTCAACAGCATAGTCATACGTATTCTTACTTTCAACTGCTAATGAGTTTCACATTATTTAAACTGGTCTTTGCTTTAAAAAGTAACATCATATCACTATGGAACTCATTCAACTATATTCTAGCGTAACCCTTATAGTGTCAGAGCCTATTAGAGCGATGGTATAAATTTCATTGAAAAAAGCCAGTGTCGAAGAGCTGATGATTAAAGGGTTAAGAAATGTTTCTAGTCCGAGCGTTCGATCGTGTTGTGATCGTCGTGATCGTTCGATTCTTGACATTTAATCTTTTTAATGCCAACTCTTCCACTCTAGCATTTTGAAGCGATATTCGTAGCGTCGCTGTAAGCGACTCTGGCACTATTAAGGTTAACGTTCTCCAATGTCAAATGGCTTCATTGACAAAAACGCAGGCTACCCTCAGCCTACCTGGTGGGTTCGTCAAGGAAGAGGATCGGAGGGTCGGCGATGAGCTCAAGGGCGATGCAAAGCCGCTTCCTCTCTCCGCCCGACAAGCACGATGCCCTTGTCTCCGCACACTCCTGCATCGATAAATGTTGTAGGATCTGCACAACCTGCAATCAATATGTTTCACTTTCATCATCTTGGGATACAAATCATCGCAAGGATGGGAGGTAAAAAACGAATTTTACGGTATTTCCTTAATGTAAAACTTAGAATTGTTATTATAGTGATGAAACTCCAAAATGTGCTTCAATAGCTTCATGAACGTGCATTTCACTTTTTACCTTATTTCAGAAATGATAGATTAACTGAAAAATTAGTTCAAGGGTATGAAATGAGTGTAAACGAAACCAAAAAAATGCATGCAGAGCTACAGCCACAGAAAGAGGTATCCGAAGAATGCTCGTCTTTCCAACATTAGGGGAGGGGGGAAGGGCATCATTGTCTGGTACTGTCCGAATAATGAACGATTAAATTATTTTCATATTTTTCCCACATCTGAACATTTTATTTTTTATTTTGCAAATGTTATATGAAGTCTCGAGACTAGCAAATCCATGAAGTAATTCAGAGGGAAACGAAAAAGAGGCAAAGAGAGGAACTGACGGCATTGTGTTTCTCTTTGAAAGATTTAGAGGTTGGAAGTTTGAGGTTGGCGGCAACAAGCATGGACTCCATGACTGTGAGGCAGGGGATCACGTGGTCCTGTTGAGGGATGTAGCTGCTTTGGTGGCGGAACATGCGCAGGTTCCTTTCTCTCCCATTCACTTCAACTTTTCCCGTCACACCCTTCTGCCTATATACGTCAATGTGTGTGGGTAACCATGCGTAGAGGGAATTTCTGAGTGCTAAAGCCTTTCCTCTCCATAAAACCTTTAGAGGAAAGGCGTAGTGGCTTTAGTGAGGAGACCTCGGGTGAGTTAGGGATGTTGGTTTACCAAAGCTTTCATGGATGTATGGGAGAGAAAATCTCTCCAAAGATTCCCGGCATTACTGTAGGATACTGCAAGGGTCATACAATTGCAATGCGAGTGGATTGAAGTGGATATTTTATATTTTCTAGTTTAAAAGTAACTTGGAGACTTTTTTGCTTTGAAATAAGTGGAAGACAATTCAGTTTCACCAATTATTTACAATTCAACGGACTTATAAATTAAGAAAGCATTTCTTTTTTTAAACCGTCCATTAAAAGGTAAAAACATAATTCTCACATACCTCTTCAAATGACACCCAATGTATCCAAAGGGATACAAATTGGATAGTAGAGTGGCACAATGCGGCTTTAGGGAAATGATTGGTGGATCATCTCATCAATAAGGAGAAGTTTTCAGCGCAGGTCACAATTTTCGAGCTTCTTGTCATTATACCTTGACCTTAATCTCTTCACCGCGCATATTGCTCATCAGATTGAATGACAATTAATAAAACTTAATTAGCTGACCAGTGCAAGACATCCACGAACTTCGCGTCGGCCTAGGCTGGGGGTGTCAACCTGCCGGCTCGCTAGTTGATGTTGTCTGGCCCGAGAAGTTCGTTTCATCAGGTAGTTTTTAGAAAAGCATAAATATCTTCAAATTGTTCGCAATTTCGTGGAATATTTTTTGTTAATGTGGACTCAACCACCCCTGAAGGGCTCTATCTGGCCCACATCTTAATCAAATTTGACACCCCTGGCACAGAGTAAACCTGCAGCATTTTCGGGAAATCACGATTAAAATAAATCAGCTGCACTCGCAACGCTATACGCAGCAAAGCTCGTACTTCTTGCGTACCCCCCACCCATTCCCCCTTTATTTCCAATCCACGGGGGTGTTCGCATTTACTATACGTACTTTCACGCGGGGACTGGAAAAACTTCCTCCCGTATAACCTTTGGAGACCCCTTTTATCTCCCTGGGGGAATGATTGACTTCCTCGCCGGTATGAGATCGCCCCTATATTTATCGGGATCCCAACCGTTTTACCGATTGGAACTCGTGTTGATCGACTCTCCATTCCCGTTTCGATCATGATCCGGTAGGAAGTTTTTGGGAAGGGCGGAGGGTGGGAGGGGGGGGGGGCGCAAGACAAACAAAGTGTCTTTCTCCCACGCTGGAGGACGGGTTCTGTCAGCCGTGACGGCCGGAAAGATTTTGCTATTGTTGTGGAGAAGGGGGAAGATCCATCTTTCGTCTTCTTGGCAATTATGGCTCAGCATGCAGAATATCTCAATTGTAGGTCGTCGTGGGGTATCTTGTTGCACGCTAAAGAATAACTTGGAAGTAGGGGGTACAAAGAATATCTAAAATCAGTGCCATGGATGAGTTTAATGCCAACTCCAGACAACACATTGGAGTCGAAGGGCCTTATTAGGACATGCATTAATAATCTACCTAATGAGAGGGATATTAATTAAATAATCAACAATAACTTACAACGACTGAATAAAATGGCGCAAATACCAAATACTTGGGTCGGGATGAAGTTAGTAGGAATTTTTTGGGGAGGAAAGATTTTGGTATGAATATGGAGACCTATAACCGGCGAGAATGTTCATCAGGCAGGTCTTCCCCGCCCCGCTGGGTCCCATGACGGCCGTCAGCTCCCCTGGCTTCATCCGCCCGTCCAGACCCTTTAGGATCTCCTTCATCCCTGCGTCACAGCATTCCCGTCAAACATGTTCGCCTTCCGCGGAAGCCTCATCAACCGACTTTTCAGAATTTGACGTACTTCCATTGTGATCGCGGACCCAGTAATGGACGTCCGAGTAGGCGATTTCGAGGGAGTTCCTGGATGGGACGCGCGTGGAGCCCTGCATCGGGTTCTCCCTTTTCACCCATACTGTCTCTCTGACAGAACAATAAAATCGCATCAAATTAAAATAAATATATAAAAATTACACTGATGAAAATTTTCTTTAAAATACTGTTTCCACGAACACTTCATAGTTTCTCTCCCTTCTAAAAATGTGGGGCAAAGGTGCGGTCAGTTTTAGCTCTCAATCCCATGACTTTATTCCTCGAAGCTTCAAAATTCCGAAACAGCATAACAATGACATGTTTTAAAGAGAGATTGCATGCGCTTCGTTAGAAAGTATGCTTGCTGCCAATAAGTCTGCACGGCGGCAACTTGTTCTAATAATCGAGGAGGCGCACATTTTTAACTTCATGCAGACCATAGAGTGTGGTGGAACATACAAATTCATGACGAATGGAGAGCCAGAACTCTCTGTGGCTGAATGGGTTGGAGACGGCTGCAGGTTTGCTCTTTTTGCATGCGTCTCTAGGAGCGTTGTGACGCGATGCGTGACTTTGGCCAGAGGTATGCCCCTTGAAAAGGTTTCGCCACCCTATCGGATTCGTACTACAATCGTACTACATTTTCCGACATCAATTCGATGCATATTGGTATGATTCTAAGAAGCACAAATTACGGCATGGAAATTTCCCGCCATGTGTGGGAAAAAGCACATTGCTATGGAAACATTTTATGCGTAAGAGAAATATGAACAATTTGTTTATGCTTATTCAAGGGCTAAGCGTCGTAACCTTGACCCATTCTCTTTGTTGGGATTGCCTTTACATTTACAACATTTATGGACGTGCGTGCACCATTGAAAGACCAGTTTCCACATGGTCGCATTCCACATGGCGAGTTCTCCTCCCTTCCTACTTTAAAATGTTCCTTCGCCTGTGGATCGGTCTATATTCCAATTACCACTTTTTAATTTTGAAGGAGTTATAGTGTATGAGGAGCACAAAGCTGCAATTTTTCATCGACATCGTGATTCTGCTCTGCAAAATGATGAACATTTGAATATTCTTTCAATATTTGAGAATAATGCATTAAGGCGGAAAAGGCGCAAAATACATTTCCCCATTCCCTAAATGAGAAATTCGGGAATTATTGCTATTGTCCGGTAAAATGAAATTAACCATACGGTGAGACCAAGTAATCCTTATGGGGTTTTTTCCCCTTGAAATAGGAATTCTTCAGAAAATAAGACATTTTTTTCTGCCATCGCGCCGGAAAATCTTTTTCGAAGGATGTTCCATAAATATTTTAAATTACATTTGTCGTCTGCCGTCAAAATTCCTTATTGTCAGCCTGCGCAAGGACATTCCAATGAAAAGCAACCTGTTTCCAGTTGCTGTGTTTCAAGCGTCATCCCCAGATGTATTAATATATCATTGACTTCAACGTCAAAATTAGTCCTGGTCCGATGAGACTTAAACTTCGTGAAATCGCGCCTGCTCAACTTAAATAAGCACAAAATAGATTTATTATGATACTACCAGGAAGGCCCACGCATGTCGTGGGGAATCTAGACAGCCCCTTTGATTCGCGAATCCAGTTCAATACATGAAATGGAATGATCAGAAAGGCTATTCACGGATAAAATGTTTGGATTCTGCGCTTATTCTGCATTTTGATCATTTTTCACGCAGTTTCTGCTCACCTACTGCGTTTTGGCTCCTCATTTTATACTGAATTGCAGGACATTCTGCACATTTTACTGCAATTTTGCCATTCATTGCCATTTGGAGACTTTTGTATATATTTGGCAAAAAAATTAAATTTCCGACTATTTAATTTCTTGCATATTTAACATTTTTGAGCAAATCGCCACATTCTTTCGAGTCGATTGACACCTGACTGACCTCTTTGTTATGTACAGTCCTGTGGAAATAACAGTGACTGGTGGCTAATATACATATTGTACAAATATGAACATTTACGCCAGTTTTTATTAGTTTATAGCTAATAGTAGTTTTGTTGCAATAATCTTCACTAGACGATGTTATTATTTTACTGTACATACATGAAGACAAAAATAAGTTGATGAGGATATAATGAAAAAAGTGCACCCTAGCAAACAAGGATTTCTGAGAAACGCAGGCTGACACCTTCTCCCGGACGCACCGTTCGAAACCTGATTGCCAAGGATCGACGACAGATAGCTTGGTATTGCCACAACAGTCTCAATCAGAATTCCCTAGCAGAGCTCAGTACCATCGGGGGGAAGAAAGCTCGGGGGTCGTCTTGAATTGCTACAGTTTCAGTTGTACGTTCAAGACTTAGTTATATAGATGGTACCCTATTTAGTTCATCTTAAATAAGTTATTTAAGATAAACTAACCTCTCCTCATTTAAATATGTACATTCATGGAAATAGTTACCCCACCTTGTTCTACTCAGAAACATCCACATGGGCTTACATACCACAACGACTTGGGATTGACACCTCGAAAAAACTCACATAGATTCTGCGGGAATGGTCCTCAACGGGCCTTCAGAGTCCTGATGGTCGATCATATTAAGAACGACGAGAGGAACTCGGGAGGGAACAAGCGAGGACGGAGGAGCCCGGGATCGCCCTCCCTTCCACTCCCCTGGGGCTCAATGAAACTGGTCCTGCCCTGCCTCACGCGCCGTTGGTATCTCCGGGCCGCGGAATTCCATCTCTACTTCTTTGCGCTTGGACTTCGAGTCCTCATTCAGCTCAACAATGTTGTGTCAACATTGATAAAAGGTTGAAATGTTGAGACGTGGTTGAGACATCCACATTCCTTTTAGTTTTACCTAAAGGCGCAAGACGGTGCCTAAGCGCAGATTTAGCGATTCTCACACTGGTCTCTTTGGAATGAGTCCCCTGTATATTCCCCACCGTTTCCGATCTCGTCCCACGCGAAACTTAGGGGAAGACTTTGGAATTCCTTGATTGACCCGTTTAAGGAAGTATCCCATAGGTGATCCAAGATACTCCATCGGATACTGGCATTTCTCATTGGAGGACCGGAGTCTGGCCGCTGAACCTCCTGAATGGAAATCCAAGTGGTCGTGCCTGGCTATTGAAATCGCTCGGGAAGGGAGGCCTGAATTGCATTGCTAAAGGCATGTGCTAACCCCACTTCTTCAACAAGTAGAGTCTCTTTCCTCCCCCACGATGAATTTCTCCAAGACATTCCATCAATTCTATGGAAAGTGTGGGATTCTTCTCATAGGACTCTGAGAAAAATCATAATATTTTTTTTTTACCTAATCGGTTTGATTATGTGCTTGTGAGAAAATTGTTTCCGGTGAAAGAATGATCAAACCTGTAACGGTGAATATGTCCCGCATCCCAAGGTAATGATTGATGGAGCTGAAAATTTGGCCAAAAATGAGTGTGACCCACCGGAAAGAAATTGAGAATCACCTAACGAGTAGAATGAACCTGTAACCCCACAAGTCATCGCGCGAAAAACGTGACCTGATTTACGAAGGGAAGAGTCCAATTTTGTAAGCTGTATTAAAAGCATGGAGTTTGTGACCAGCTAAATAACTTTTTGAATTCTGCACCGATTCTAATCGCGTTCTTAGCTTTTACACCCTGTACATATATGTTTCCGGGGCACAGCTATCCATTTGGATGTATATGTTCCTTCTCATGTCCAGTCTCAGGCGAGAATGGTTCGGAGAATCACATCGACGGTGATAAATTATCGCCATCATAATTTACCGTTAATTCGCACCACTGCCAAATGAGGAAGAATTGAGGCACGACCAATAATTCATTCCTGCAGAGGGGATGACTCAGTGACTCGTCACGTCGGACCTTGAAGGACTGACTTTATCATTACTGTGTCTGAAATGTCAACTGGAAATTTCTTGCCATTTCCTTGTGAGAGGGGTTCCTATTACCCCTGAACTCTACTAAATCCCACCTGAACTATGCCCAGGGACGATATTCACGGGATCTTGATTAGAAAGATGGTATCACAGTGATGCCTGCAACAGTAGCCCCTATGAACGAATTTATCTCAGTGATGGGCTGAGGACGGGTCTAACTTGGAGTTTCGGTGGTATTTTCATGGATCTCGACTACATTTGTCTCAGACCACTTCGAGGTCTAAGTTGGAATTTCCTCGGGTTCGAAAGCGAGGAACGAGTCAACAGTGCCCTGATGGGTTTCTCTCCTGGACATCCATTCCTTGCGGAGGTGATGGAGACTCTGAAGAATCACTCCGAACCTAATTCCGTCCCCGGCGCCGGCCAGACCATCTATAGTAAAATCTTCGTCAAGCATTGTCCAAGAGACAATAGCATAGACCGGAAGGATGGACTTGCGGCGACATCACCGCTTACCCCATTCACTATTTCTATCCCATACCGTTCTAGATGAATAACTTATGGGTTTCATTTCTGTTAAGGAACATATGACAATGAAACAATACATTTTCCTTTATTTCGACGGATATGGAAAATGACGGATGAAAGACAAGGCCTCCGGCGAAGCACAGAATACCACACAAATGATACTTTTGATGATAATGATGCCTTTCATAATACGTGTTTAATTTTTTTTCTGACATTCATGACAGTTTTTCATACATTTTCAGCATCAAGGAAGATCGGAGTACCGACAAATCAATTCCCATTATTTGTGACGCTCAATGACCTAAATCGCTTCACTACTCATATCTTTAAATTAATGGCGAACATTTATGCCTGCATGCATAACGTGAACGTTGATGGTTGCACGAGTCATATCGAAGAGAGACTATGAGCAGAAAACTGAATCAGAAGGGTGGGGTTCGCCGAAATGGAGCAGGATTGATTGCACGAATTACATAAAAGTGAAACGATAAAAAGGAGGTTTCAGAGCGGATGATGCACCGAGGAGCACAGCGGCTCACTTCAGACCTTCCGCAGCGGAACCGCTTGCGAGTCCGTTCTTGCCTTGCTTAGGGACGAGGAAGATTCGTGATATTGCGGCATGGGGTTCCCAAGGCGGTCGCCCTTCCCCTTGCGTTGCGTCCGGTATCCCCAATCATTCGAGGCCGGCAGGTGCATGCCGATTCGTGAAATCGCGTCATTCAGACGGCATTCCTCATTGCATCATGGAAAATTCTCATTGTTTCTTTTCGATGTCACTCATGCAATCAATCATTACCCTTTTTATT